TCACAGAGCAATATAACACCTGCATGATCTGCGAGTCAAAGTGACACTCATGCCACCCCGTATCAGCATGTCTGACCACAAACCAGCAAAATATCCAGCAAATGCCATCACACTCCATGGAACAGCACTAAACCATGCTGCTTTTCTTAGGTCCACATGATAGATCTGCAGAAGATGACTCTTAATTTGTATCTCAGTCCAGTAGTAGGTGTTTGTGGAACACAAAGGAACGCAGGTTACATCTATGCATAAGGCCTTACCGAGTTGAAGTAAATAGGCATCCATGAAAGAATAACAAAAAAGCCCTGCAGAAGAGTTCTTAATCAGTGAATAGTTTAGGTCAACAGATGTAATCAGCAGATATGGAGACAGCATTCATAGAAAAGGTTAACATTAATAAGTCACGTGCATACTACTTTATCATTTTTTTCGTATTTTAAGGTATCATCTCTTCATTATAAAATAACTACTAGTAAAAGATGCATATGGATTACCCAGCTGTGCATTGCATTTGCAACAATTAGGGACCATGTTGGCATTCTAGAGAGCAAGCACCTGAAGGGTGGGATCATTTTGGTTCTCTTTTGGTTATTATTCCCCACTGCAAAGTATTTCTGGTGCTTGTTGGTTATGTATTCTAATTCAAATTTTGAGATCTGGGAATGCCTATCGGGACTGCTTGATATTGCTGATAACCATACAACAAACCAAAGAAATCCAGATAATCCAAAGATGACAAATGGTCCGAATATACCACCATGAGACATGAGAATAGGAGACAGCATCAATCCTACTGCATTTCCAAGCTGAAATCCAGCCATTGCAATTCCAACAGCTCTTGCACGTTCTGTCTGAGGAAACCATCTAAAAAAAAGTTTTCTATAGTTTCTTGAAAAACATAGCTTCAACATATTATTTCTAGAAAATTTGTACCGGAAGAAAGGTGCTTAGTATCACCCTTTTTTACATTGACCATCACCATTTATCAAACAGTACATTGAGCAGACCACCAATACCTTGCTACCATGTTGTTCATGCAAGGAAGAGCCACGCCTTCAGCAATTCCAAGCATGGCTCTCGCAACAAGTAGCGCCCATATGGAAGTTTCAGCAGCCCATGGTGTTAAAAAGGTCGCTAGTGACCATAAAGCCACACCATATGCCATGACTATCTTACCACCATAATGGTCCACTAAAGTTCCTCCAGCTATCGGCGAGACAAGGTATCCCCAAAGGAATGATGACTGCCACAAATATTTATGGTAAAGTTAGATGCAACTAAAGACAGCTTTCATTTTCAGTCCATGAAAAGAGACCATTATCATTGGCCACTATAAGTTTATATACAGTTACACACACATCAAATTTATGGAATGTTTTATCAGTTCAATTCTTGAAATCTTAAGCTGATATGAGAGAACATAATCTATTAGTTATATGTAAACACATTCTTTCACGTGTAAGAAGATAAACCGAAAAGCACAGAGGCCCGGAAGTAAGGTGCATACCGGATGGAGATTGATGGGCTCTGCACAACTATAATGGATGGAAGAATGAATAATCAAATAATAAGAGGGGATGAGATTTTTAAATTTGAACATATAAATATAATACCACCCTAAAATAATAGATTGAGCTAGTTATGGAAAAGTTTAAAATCATAGGTTTCAGGTTCATTCCTCCTCAAAAACCAACTATAACGATTTACAACCCAACAAAGTTTTGGTAAAAATGGAAAGAAAAGATCTTGAAAGCGACATTCAATTAAGAAGAAACCAGAGTACCCACCTGAACAATACTCAGAGAACGACCTGCTCACCCGTGCGCTCAGAGACAACGGCACGATCGCCATCGACATCACCACGCGGTCCGCATTGCATAGAGCCAGCGCCAAAGCCACCATCGCC